GTTTAGAAGGCACAGTTAAATTTGCGTGTGTTTTCACAATAGACAAGGTTTAGGGCGCATTGCATTTATTTCTAGTAGCTAATTAGTACTTCGATATACTATTTCTATATGTATGCGTAGTGTGAATGCTATTTTTTAACCCATCTCACAACCAATAGATAACCACCTAGGTCGCAGAGAATTTCCAAGTGTGCCTTCTAAACCGTGACGGAGGGAGTATGTAAAATATGATCTCCGATTTGAGAAATAAGTACTTTGTGGCACAAGCTTCACTACATGGAGTAAAAATTGAGAATTTCTGGTAAGTAACGTAAAATTTGTCACAAATGTGAACTAGAGGTAAAGAATGGAATTTACTCACAAAAATAGGATGTCTGTTTTAAAAGCACTTTGAAACCATCATTCCCAGCTCCATCAATCTCGTCTCGATGCCCTTCCATGCATCTCCTGAAGAATTCATGCATGGGAGACTATAACTACATAAGATCGAGTAAACTTGTAATTTGTAAGGACTATGTTCTTCCTTTTTATGTGTGATGACCCATGGGGATCGATCATGACGGGTTATACCTAAGGGGCACGCCCAAGAACACATATGGCCCAGCCTAGGGTCCAAGCCAATCAAGAATACAGTCCAAAAAACAATGGGCTAAGGGGCATTACACCAGGCCCTTTAGAACTGCAGCCCAAGGCATCAGATACCAGAGGGATACTTTGGAGGAAACCAAGTGTCTATTGTCCCATCGTGAACGCCCTAGTGGACAAGACCCAACAATCGGTCACCAGGAAGACAAGAGCAGTCGGACCGCCTACAGTCGGCTGCGTTCTAGGATACCTTGACTTCCATGATGTCTTTGTTACCTTCGTTACTCAACCATAGTATGATCTAAGTTAAATACGACAATTATTGGTAGTAATAGCCATGGACAGTACTTCATACATGTGACCATCAATAGCATTTATACCAGCCGGTTATGGCACCCCCTCCGAGCACACTCTATATAAGCCGGGAGTAAGGCATTAGACCGAGGGTTGAACTCTCTGACAATCTAACCTACGCCAAGAGCTAAGAGCACCACAAGAGTAGGGTATTATCTTCACTGAAGAGGGCCCAAACCTATATAATTTCTTGAGCATACTCCCATTGTACTGTTTGGTAGATACGATTGCTTCTACATACCCCCCATTATTGTTAGGATTATATCCACGACGGTTGGCAACCACCTTGGGGAGAGCGTCTATTGAGGTTTCTCGTCAACTCCTTTTGGCCGCATCCATTTCGGTGTCCTCGAGTTCGCCGTAGACGGTTCAATGTGGCATCTTGAAGCTTTGCCGAATTGCGCCAACATGCCGGCATGAGTATCCATTATCAGACCAATGGCATGGGCATTTTGAGCCTTCAACTCTAGGGTTCGCATCAGCCGGTTGTTTTGGCGCCATGACGCCGTAGAAAGCGCTCAGGCAAGCCTCACCCATAGGTTCTTCATTGAGCAAGCCAGTTCATCGAGATGATGGACAATGAATCATTGATCCATCTGCTGGAGTCCGATTTCGAGGAGGAAGATAGCTGCGGGACTCAGAGTCCCATGTCGGAAGTTTTCATGGCTGGCATACCCCCAGTCTAGCCTTCGATGGGGTGCACCGGTCGATTCATCTCCCGCAACCAGCAATGTTGTATCTGGTGACAGGCAACATCTGTTGGGGAACGTAGTAATTTCAACAATTTTCCTACGCACACACAGGATCATGGTGATGCATGGCAACGAGAGGGGAGAGTGTGTCTACGTACCCTCGTAGACCGAATGCGGAAGCGTTAGCACAACGCGGTAGATGTAGTCGTACGTCTTCACGATCTGACCGATCCAAGTACCGAACGCACGGCACCTCCGAGTTCTGCACACGTTCAACTCGATGACGTCCCGCGAGCTCCGATCCAGCAAAGCTTCACATGAGAGTTTCGTCAGCACGACGGTGTGATGACGGTGATGATGATGCTACCGACGCAGGGCTTCGCCTAAGCACCGCTACGATATGATCGAGGTGGATTATGGTGGAGGGGGGCACCGCACACGGCTAAGAGATCAATGATCAATTATTGTGTCTATGGGGTGCCCCCTGCCCCCGTATATAAATGAGCAAGGGGAGGAGGCGGCCAGCCAGGGAGAGGCGCGCCAAGAGGGGGAGGAGTCGGACTCCTCCTTTTCCTAGTAGGAGTAGGAGAGGGAAGGAAAGGGAGAGGAGGAGAAGGAAAGAGGGGGTCGACTCCCCTTGTCCTAAACCAATTCGGTTTGGGCCTTGGGGGGGGGGGTACTCCACACTCCCCTTGCTGCCCTCTATTTTCACTAAGGCCCATGTAGGCCCATTAAGCCCCCGGGGGTTCTGGTAATCCCCCGGTACTCCGGTATATGCCCGAAACCTTTCGGAACCTTTCCGGTGTCCGAACATAGTCGTCCAATATATCGATCTTTACGTCTCGACCATTTCGAGACTCCTCGTCATGTCCGTGATCATATCCGGGACTCCGAACTACCTTCGGTACATCAAAACACAAAAACCCATAATACCGATCGTCACCGAACTTTAAGCGTGCGGACCCTACGGGTTCGAGAACTATGTAGACATGATCGAGACACGTCTCTGGTCAATAACCAATAACGGAACCTAGATGCTCATATTGGCTCCCACATATTCTACGAAGATCTTTATCGGTCAAACCGCATAACAACATACGTTGTTCCCTTTGTCATCGGTATGTTACTTGCCTGCGATTCGATCGTCGGTATCTCAATACTTAGTTCAATCTCGTTACCGGCAAGTCTCTTTACTCGTTCCGTAATACATCATCCCACAACTAACTCATTAGTTACAATGCTTGCAAGGCTTATAGTGATGTGCATTACCGAGTGGGCCCAGAGATACCTCTCCGACAATCGGAGTGACAAATCCTAATCTCGAAATACGCCAACTCAACAAGTACCTTCGGAGACACCTGTAGAGCACCTTTACAATCACCCAATTACGTTGTGACGTTTGGTAGCACACAAAGTGTTCCTCCGGTAAACGGGAGTTCCATAATCTCATAGTCATAGGAACATGTATAAGTCATGAAGAAAGCAATAACAACATACTAAACGATCAAGTGCTAAGCTAATGAGATGGGTCAAGTCAATCACATCATTCTCCTAATGATGTGATCCCGTTAATCAAATGACAACTCATGTCTATGGCTAGGAAACATAACCATCTTTGATCAACGAGCTAGTCAAGTAGAGGCATACTAGTGACACTCTGCTTGTCTATGTATTCACACATGTATCATGTTTCCGGTTAATACAATTCTAGCATGAATAATAAACATTTATCATGATATAAGGATATAAATAATAACTTTATTATTGCCTCTAGGGCATATTTCCTTCAAAATCTCACTCAGGAAACCGTCGAGCAGCTCCTCAACACCCCGATCTCAGGGGATTCACCGGCTGACAAAGTCTTAGAGGTGTCACGTCATTCCACTCTGGCTGAGCATGCTCGCCTTGCGCAAAGCCACCGAAACCTCATCGCGTGAGAGCAAGAGCTAGCGGACAACATTCGGTAACATCAGCAGACATCCCGGTCTGTAGTTTGATGAGGGCAAGATATCAACAAGTTTGTAGCCAAAGGCAAAGGCGACTCCCGAGTCATGTGGACCCTGATTGAAAATGTCTAGGCCGCGACTAGAGTGGCAGATGCAATCCAACAACAGGGAGACAGAGACATCGTTGACGGCATCCGACAGCTGTCGAATTTCCTGAAGGTCACAGTCGTGCAGAACAAGATGATTCACGACTGTCTGGCTTCTCGCAGCAGAGTGCCTGTGGGAACCGAAAACCGAGTGCCAACAATAGCCTCTTCACACCCACGACAGTTGGCCAGTCGTAGGGCCGACAACTGTGTGGGGGGATGTGCATGAGCCATTTCCATGTTCCCGGGAGGACCCTCCTCGGTGGCGTGAGGACCCTTCTCCACGACACCGACTAGATTCTCCTCAACACCATGATGGCGTCTTACCAAAAGGGCATAGAGATGTTCCCCGCGGCCGAGATGATTATTCTCAACGAAGACAGAGGACTCTTCCTCATCGACGTGATGATTCT